TGATTGGCTGTCTGAGTGTTACACGCCCCCTTATTGGCTGTCTAAGTGTTACACGCCTCCTGATTGGCTGGCTGAGTGTGACACGCCTCCTGATTGGCTGGCTGAGTGTGACACGCCTCCTGATTTGCTGGCTGAGTTTTACACGCCCCCTGATTGGCTGGCTAAGTGTTACACGCCTCCTGATTTGCTGGCTGAGTGTTACACGCCTCCTGATTGGCTTGCTGAGTGTGACACGCCTCCTGATTGGCTGGCTGAGTGTTACACGCCTCCTGATTGGCTGTCTGAGTGTTACAGGCCTCCTGATTGGCTGCCTGAGTGTTACACGCCCCCTTGATTGGTAGCTGAGTGTTACACGCCTCCTGATTGGCTGGCTGAGTGTCACAAGGCTTCCTGATTGGCTACCTGAGTGTTACACGCCTCCTTGATTTGCTGCCTGAGTACTACACACCTTCTGATTGGCTGGTTGAGTGTCAAAGGCCTCCTAATTGGCTGCCTGAGAGTTATATGCGTCCTAATTGGCTTCCTGAGTGTTACACGCCTCCTGATTGGCTGGCTGAGTGTGACACGCCTCCTGATTGGTAGCTGAGTGTTACACGCCTCCTGATTGGCTGCCTGAGTGTTACACGCCTCCTGATTGGCTGCCTGAGTGTGACACGCCTCTTTATTGGCTTCCTGAGTGTTACACGCCTCCTGGTTGGCTGGCTGAGTGTGACACGCCTCCTGATTGGCTACCTGACTGTTACACCCCCTCCTGATTGGATGCCTGAGTGTTACACGCCTCCTGATTGGCTGCCTGAGTGTCACACGCCTCCTGATTGGCTGCCTGAGTGTTACACGCCTGCTGATTGGCTGGCAGAGTGTGACACGACTCCTTATTGGCTGTCTGAGTTTTACATGCGTCCTGATTGGCTAGCAGATTTTTACACGTTTCCTGATTTGCTGGCTGAGTGTTACACGCCCCCTGATTTGCTGTCTGAGTTTTACACACCTCCTGATTGGCTGTCTGAGTGTTACAGGCCTCCTGATTGGCTGCCTGAGTGTTACACGCCCCTTGATTGGTAGCTGAGTGTTACACGCGTTCTGATTGGCTGGCTGAGTGTCAAAGGCTTCCTGATTGGCTACCTGAATGTTACACGCCTCCTTATTTGCTGCCTGAGTACTACACACCTTCTGATTGGCTGGTTGAATGTCAAAGGCCTCCTAATTGGCTGCCTGAGAGTTATATGCGACCTAATTGGCTTCCTGAGTGTTACACGCCTCCTGATTGGCTGGCTGAGTGTGACACGCCTCCTGATTAGTAGCTGAGTGTTACACGCCTCCTGATTGGCTGGCTGAGTGTGACACGCCTCCTCATTGGCTGCCTGAGTGTTACACGCCTCCTGATTGGCTGGCTGACTGTTACACGCCCCCTGATTGGCTGTTTGAGTGTTACACGCCTCCTGATTGGCTGTCTGAGTGTTACACGCCCCCTGAATGGCTGTCTAAGTGTTACACGCCTCCTGATTTGCTGGCTGAGTGTTACACGCCTCCTGATTGGTAGCTGAGTGTTACACGCCTCCTGATTGGCTGCCTGAGTGTTACACGCCTCCTGATTGGCTGCCTGAGTGTGACACGCCACTTTATTGGCTTCCTGAGTGTGACACGCCTCCTGGTTGGCTGGCTGAGTGTGACACGCCTCCTGATTGGCTACCTGACTGTTACACCCCTCCTAATTGGATGCCTGAGTGTTACACGCCTCCTGATTGGCTTCCTGAGTGTCACACGCCTGCTGATTGGCTGCCTGAGTGTTACACGCCTGCTGATTGGCTGGCAGAGTGTGACACGACTCCTTATTGGCTGTCTGAGTTTTACATGCGTCCTGATTGGCTAGCAGATTTTTACACGTTTCCTGATTTGCTGGCTGAGTGTTACACGCCCCCTGATTTGCTGTCTGAGTGTCACACGCCTCTTGATTTGCTAGCTGAGTGTTACACGCCTCCTGATTGGCTGGCTGAGTGTTACACGCCTCCTGATTGGCTGGCTGACTGTTACACGCCCCCTGATTGGCTGTTTGAGTGTTACACACCTCCTGATTGGCTAGCTGAGTGTCAAAGGCTTCCTGATTGGCTACCTGAGTGTTACACGCCTCCTGATTGGTTGGCTGAGTGTTACACGCCTCCTAATTGGCTGCCTGAGTGTTACACGCCTCCTGATTGGCTGGCTGAGTGTAACATGCTTCCTGATTGGCTGTCTGAGTGTTACACGCCTCCTGATTGGATGGCTGAGTGTTACACGCCCCCTGATTGGCTGTCTGAGTGTTACACACCCCCTGATTGGCTGTCTAAGTGTTACACGCCTCCTGATTGGCTGGCTGAATGTGACACGCCTCCTTATTGGCTGGCTGAATGTCAAAGGCCTCCTGATTGGCTGCCTGAGTGTTACACGCCTCCTGATTGGCTGGCTGAGTGCGACACGCCTCGTGATTGGCTGTTCTAGTGTTACACACCACCTGATTGGCTGGCTTAGTGTTACACGCCTCCTGATTGGCTGCCTGAGTGTTACACGCCTCCTGATTGGCTGGCTGACTGTTACACGCCCCCTGATTGGCTGTTTGAGTGTTACACGCCTCATGATTGGCTAGCTGAGTGTTACAAGCCTCCTGATTGGTAGCTGAGTGTTACACGCCTCCTGATTGGCTGGCTGAGTGTGACATGCCTCTTTATTGGCTGGCTGAATGTTACATGACTCCTGATTGGCTGGCTGAGTGTTACACGCCTCCTGATTGGCTAGCTGAGTGTTACACGCCTCCTGATTGGCAGCTGAGTGTTACACGCCTCCTGATTGGCTGCCTGAGTGTTAAACGCCTCCTGATTGGCTGCCTGAGTGTGACACGCCTCCTTATTGGCTGTCTGAGTGTTACAGGCCTCCTGATTGGCTGCCTGAGTGTTACACGCCCCTTGATTGGCTGGCTGAGTGTGACATGCCTCCTGATTGGCTGGCTGAGTGTTACACGCCTCCTGATTGGCTGGCTGAGTGTTACACGCCTCTTGATTGGTAGCTGAGTGTTACACGCCTCCGATTGGCTGTGTAAGAGTTACACGCCTTCTGACTGGCTAGTTGAGTGTTACACGCCTCCTGATTGGCTGGCTGAGTGTTACACGCCTCCTGATTGGCTGGCTGACTGTTACACGCCCCCTGATTGGCTGTTTGAGTGTTACACACCTCCTGATTGGCTAGCTGAGTGTCAAAGGCTTCCTGATTGGCTACCTGAGTGTTACACGCCTCCTGATTGGTTGGCTGAGTGTTACACGCCTCCTAATTGGCTGCCTGAGTGTTACACGCCTCCTGATTGGCTGGCTGAGTGTAACATGCTTCCTGATTGGCTGTCTGAGTGTTACACGCCTCCTGATTGGATGGCTGAGTGTTACACGCCCCCTGATTGGCTGTCTGATTGTTACACGCCCCCTGATTGGCTGTCTAAGTGTTACACGCCTCCTGATTGGCTGGCTGAATGTGACACGCCTCCTTATTGGCTGGCTGAATGTCAAAGGCCTCCTGATTGGCTGCCTGAGTGTTACACGCCTCCTGATTGGCTGGCTGAGTGCGACACGCCTCGTGATTGGCTGGTCTAGTGTTACACACCACCTGATTGGCTGGCTTAGTGTTACACGCCTCCTGATTGGCTGCCTGAGTGTTACACGCCCCTTGATTGGTAGCTGAGTGTTACATGCGTTCTGATTGGCTGGCTGAGTGTCAAAGGCTTCCTGATTAACCGTTACAGCGGTTATTTACCCGCTTAACATTTAAACGTAGACTAGTTCTACTTAAACACTTGGAGTTTCTCCCTCTTTTAGGGACTTTTCACTACTTTCAAAGTTTTTCATACACTCTAGTTTCATTAGCATTAGCAGTTAGCTATGGCTTCTCCCTCTCCCTCTCCTCTGTCCTGCTCAGTGTGTCAGATGTTCAGTTATTCCTCTGCCTCCTTTAAAGATAATGGTACCTGTATTAAATGTAGTTTATTTACTGCGCTGGAGGCGAGGCTTAGTGAGTTAGAGGAACGGCACCGCACCACTGAGATATCTTTAGCCGCTATAGTTAGCCAGCCCCCGGTAGCCGGTGCGGTCCGACCGAAGGTAGCTTCTGTTAGCTCTGTAGATCCCCCGGTAGTTCCCGAGCAGCCGGGAAGACAGGGAGGCTGGGTGACTGAGCGAAGGAAGACTAGAACGGCGAAGCCCACAGGTCACCACCAACCGCTTCACGTTTCTAATACATTTTCCCCTCTCAGCGATACACCCGCTGAGGAACCAACTCTGGTTATTGGCAGCTCCATAGTCAGAAACGTGAAGTTAGCGAAGCCAGCGGCCATAGTTAAATGCATCCCTGGGGCCAGAGCGGGCGACATTGAATCAAATTTAAAACTGCTGGCTAAAGATAAACGTAAATACAGTAAGATTGTTATCCACGTCGGCGGTAACGACACCCGTTTACGCCAATCGGAGGTCACTAAGATTAATGTGGAGTCGGTGTGTAACTATGCTAAGACAATGTCGGACACCGTAGTTTTTCTCTGGACCCCTCCCCAATGTGACCAGTGATGACATGTATAGCCGCATGTCGTCATTCCACCGCTGGCTGTCGAGGTGGTGTCCAGCAAACGATGTGGGCTTCATTGATAACTGGAAGCCTTTTTGGGGAAAACCTGGTCTGATTAGGAGAGACGGCATCCATCCCACTTTGGATGGAGCGGCTCTCTTATCTAGAAATATGGCGAAGTTTATTTCTAAAACCTGACAGTCCAGAGTTAGGACCAGGAAGCAGAGCTGCTGTCTTACACACTCCTCTGCGCTTTCTTTAGAACAGTCACCCACCCAAAACCCCATAGAGACTGTGTCTGTCCCCCGACCACCTAAACTATTTAAAGAAATAAAAACAAGAGGAGTTCAACATAAAAATCTAATAAAAATTAAAACCAACTCCTCAGTAGCACAAAATAAGAGAATGAAATGTGGGCTGTTAAATATCAGGTCTCTGTCCTCTAAAGCTGTTCTAGTGAATGAATTAATATCAGATTATGATATTGATTTACTTTGTCTTACTGAGACCTGGTTGTCCCACGAGGAGTATGTTAGCCTAAATGAATCCACCCCCCCAGTCATATTAATACTCACATTCCTCGAGGCACAGGCCGAGGAGATGGAGTAGCAGCTATATATGATTCGAGCGTTTTAATGGACCCTAAACCTAAACTAAATTATAATTCATTTGAAAGCCTTGTTCTTAGTCTTTCTCACCCAAACTGGAAAACACTGCAGCCAGTTCTATTTGTTATAGTGTACCGCGCTCCTGGACCGTACTCTGATTTTATATCTGAATTTTCAGAGTTTCTATCAAGCTTAGTCCTTAAATCAGATAAAGTAATTATTGTAGGTGATTTTAATATTCATGTGGATGTTGACAATGACAGCCTTAGTAATGCATTTATATCATTAATAGACTCAATTGGCTTCTGTCAGAGTGTAAATAAACCAACTCATTGTTTTAATCACACTCTTGACCTTGTTTTATCATATGGCATTGATATTGAACATTTAATAGTCTTCCCACATAATCCTTTCCTATCTGACCATTATTTAGTAACTTTTGAATTCATACTATTAGATTATAAGCCATTAGGCAAAACTTCCTACAGCAGATGTTTATCTGACAGTGCTGTAGCTAAATTTAAGGAGGAGATTCCTTCAGTGTTTAATTCAATGCCATGTCTGAATTTAACAGAGTCCTATAACAACTTTAGTCCCTCTGAAATTGATAATCTTGTCGATAGTGCTACAGGCTCACTACGATCAACATTAGACTCTATCGCTCCTATAAAAAGGAAATTATTAAAACATAGGAGACTAGCACCTTGGTATAACCACCAAACCCGCCAGTTAAAGCAAATAGCTAGGAAATCTGAAAGGAAATGGCGCTCTTCCAAATTATCAGAATATCGCTCAAATTGGCAAGATGATCTTAAGATTTATAGAAAGGCCCTCCGTAATGCCAGAGGAGCCTATTACTCAGCACTAATAGAAGAAAATAAGAACAACCCTAGGTTCCTCTTCAGCACTGTAGCCAGGCTGACAGAGAGTCACAGCTCTATCGAGCCACATATCCCCATAAACTTAAGTAGCAATGACTTCATGAGCTTCTTCTATAATAAAATTATTACTATTAGAGAAAAAATTAATCACCAACTGCCATCAACAGTTATCAGTGGCTCTCCAAGTTCAGGGACTTCTGTCAATGTAAACTTAGATGTATATTTAGACTGTTTTTCTGCTATCGATCTTCATCAGTTAACTTCAATCATTTCTTCATCGAAGCCATCAACCTGTCTGTTAGACCCGATCCCAACTAGGCTGCTTAAAGAAGTTGTTCCCTTAATTGGCACTTCTTTACTGGATATGATTAATCTTTCTTTATTATCAGGATATGTACCACAGTCCTTTAAAGTAGCTGTAATTAAACCCCCTTCTTAAAAAGTCTACTCTTGACCCAGGGGTTTTAGCCAACTATAGACCGATTTCTAACCTCCCGTTCCTCTCTAAGATTCTGGAGAAAGTAGTCGCCAAAGACTTGTGTGACTTTCTACATAACAATAGTTTATTTGAGGATTTTCAGTCAGGATTTAGAGTTCATCATAGCACAGAGACAGCTCTGGTTAAAGTTAATAATGACCTTCTGACTGCTTCTGACAATGGACTTGTCTCTGTACTTGTATTATTAGATCTTAGTGCTGCATTTGACACCATTGACCATGATATTCTTTTACAGAGACTTGAGCATCAAATTGGCATTAAAGGAACTGCCCTAACCTGGTTTAAGTCATACTTATCAGATCGTACTCAGTTTGTACATGTTAACGATGAATCCTCCATAAATACTAAAGTTAGTCATGGAGTTCCACAAGGTTCTGTACTTGGACCAATACTATTTACTTTATATATGCTCCCTTTAGGCAACATTATTAGGAATCACTCCATTAACTTTCACTGTTATGCAGATGATACGCAGTTATATCTATCAATCAAACCCAATGAAATTAATCAATTATCTAAATTACAAACATGTCTTAAGGACATAAAATCCTGGATGACCTGCAATTTTCTGATGTTAAACTCAGAAAAAACCGAAATTCTTGTTCTTGGCCCCAAAACCTTAGAGACTCATTGTCTAAAGATATAGTCACTCTAGATGGCATTAACTTGGCCTCTAGCACCACTGTCAGGAATCTTGGAGTTCTCTTTGATCAGGATTTGTCATTTAACTCCCACATAAAGCAGACCTCTAGGACTGCCTTCTTTCATTTACGTAATATTAGAAAAATTAGACACATACTATCACAGACAGATGCAGAAAAACTAATCCATGCATTTGTTACTTCAAGGCTGGATTACTGCAACTCTTTATTATCAGGTTGCCCCAATAAGTCCATTAAAACGCTCCAATTAATTCAGAACGCTGCAGCACGAGTACTGACAGGAACTAGAAAAAGAGATCACATCTCTCCTGTACTAGCTACTCTGCATTGGCTCCCTATAAAATGTAGAATTGAATTTAAAATACTCCTCCTCACCTATAAAGCTCTTCATGGTCAGGCCCCTTCATATCTTAAAGAGCTCATAGTACCCTATTACCCCACTAGAACACTACGTTCTCTGAATGCTGGGCTACTTGTGGTTCCTATAGTCTCTAAAAGTAGAACAGGAGCCAGAGCCTTCAGTTACCAAGCTCCTCTCCTGTGGAACCGGCTTCCAGTTGTGGTTCGGGAGGCAGACACCCTCACCACTTTCAAGAGTAGGCTTAAGACATTCCTCTTTGATAAAGCTTATAGTTAGGGCTGGATCAGGTGAGTCCTGAACCATCCCTTAGTTATGCTGCTATAGGCCTAGACTATCGGGGGATTTCCCATGGTGCACTGAGCTACTCTCTTCCTCTCTCTTTCTGCACTCATTCATGTCCCTTTAATGCATGTTACTAACTCCACTTCTTCCCCGGAGTTCTTGTGCTTTCTCGTCTCGCAGGTTCTCATGGATCCTGGTGGAGCCTCCTGCCATGGTCCTGCTTGACTGCCATTGCCAATACTGTTGTTGCTGTGCACCTGTCTGTCTGTCTGTCGCTCTCTCTCTCTCTCTCTCTCTCTCTCTCTCTCTCACCCCAACTGGTCGAGACAGACGACCACCCACCTAGAGCCGGAGGATCTGTCCTAGGTTTCTGCCTTTTAACAGGCAGTTTTTCCCTTGCCCTTGTCGCCAAGTGCTTGCTCATGGTGGTACTGTTGGGTCTCTGTAATTAATGTTAAAGAGTTCGGTCTAGACCTGCTCTATTTGAAAAGTGTCCTGAGATAACTTCTGTTATGAATTGGCGCTATACAAATAAAATTGAATTGAAAATTGAATTGAATTGATTGGCTACCTGAATGTTACACGCCTCCTTATTTGCTGCCTGAGTACTACACACCTTCTGATTGGCTGGTTGAATGTCAAAGGCCTCTAATTGGCTGCCTGAGAGTTATATGCGACCTAATTGGCTTCCTGAGTGTTACACGCCTCCTGATTGGCTGGCTGAGTGTGACCCGCCTCCTGATTAGTAGCTGAGTGTTACACGCCTCCTGATTGGCTGGCTGAGTGTGACACGCCTCCTCATTCGCTGCCTGAGTGTTACACGCCTCCTGATTGGCTGGCTGACTGTTACACGCCCCCTGATTGGCTGTTTGAGTGTTACACGCCTCCTGATTGGCTGTCTGAGTGTTACACGCCCCCTGAATGGCTGTCTAAGTGTTACACGCCTCCTGATTTGCTGGCTGAGTGTTACACGCCTCCTGATTGGTAGCTGAGTGTTACACGCCTCCTGATTGGCTGCCTGAGTGTTACACGCCTCCTGATTGGCTGCCTGAGTGTGACACGCCACTTTATTGGCTTCCTGAGTGTGACACGCCTCCTGGTTGGCTGGCTGAGTGTTACATGCCTCCTGATTGGCTCTCTGAGTGTTACATGCCTCCTGATTGGATGCCTGAGTGTTACACGCCTCCTGATTGGCTTCCTGAGTGTCACACGCCTGCTGATTGGCTGCCTGAGTGTTACACGCCTGCTGATTGGCTGGCAGAGTGTGACACGACTCCTTATTGGCTGTCTGAGTTTTACATGCGTCCTGATTGGCTAGCAGATTTTTACACGTTTCCTGATTTGCTGGCTGAGTGTTACACGCCCCCTGATTTGCTGTCTGAGTGTCATACGCCTCTTGATTTGCTAGCTGAGTGTTACACGCCTCCTGATTGGCTGGCTGAGTGTTACACGCCTCCTGATTGGCTGGCTGACTGTTACACTCCCCCTGATTGGCTGTTTGAGTGTTACACACCTCCTGATTGGCTAGCTGAGTGTCAAAGGCTTCCTGATTGGCTACCTGAGTGTTACACGCCTCCTGATTGGTTGGCTGAGTGTTACACGCCTCCTAATTGGCTGCCTGAGTGTTACACGCCTCCTGATTGGCTGGCTGAGTGTAACATGCTTCCTGATTGGCTGTCTGAGTGTTACACGCCTCCTGATTGGATGGCTGAGTGTTACACGCCCCCTGATTGGCTGTCTGAGTGTTACACGCCCCCTGATTGGCTGTCTAAGTGTTACACGCCTCCTGATTGGCTGGCTGAATGTGACACGCCTCCTTATTGGCTGGCTGAATGTCAAAGGCCTCCTGATTGGCTGCCTGAGTGTTACACGCCTCCTGATTGGCTGGCTGAGTGCGACACGCCTCGTGATTGGCTGGTCTAGTGTTACACACCACCTGATTGGCTGGCTTAGTGTTACACGCCTCCTGATTGGCTGCCTGAGTGTTACACGCCTCCTGATTGGCTGGCTGACTGTTACACGCCCCCTGATTGGCTGTTTGAGTGTTACACGCCTCATGATTGGCTAGCTGAGTGTTACAAGCCTCCTGATTGGTAGCTGAGTGTTACACGCCTCCTTATTGGCTGGCTGAGTGTGACATGCCTCTTTATTGGCTGGCTGAATGTTACATGACTCCTGATTGGCTGGCTGAGTGTTACACGCCTCCTGATGGGCTAGCTGAGTGTTACACGCCTCCTGATTGGCAGCTGAGTGTTACACGCCTCCTGATTGGCTGCCTGAGTGTTAAACGCCTCCTGATTGGCTGCCTGAGTGTGACACGCCTCCTTATTGGCTGTCTGAGTGTTACAGGCCTCCTGATTGGCTGCCTGAGTGTTACACGCCCCTTGATTGGCTGGCTGAGTGTGACATGCCTCCTGATTGGCTGGCTGAGTGTTACACGCCTCCTGATTGGCTGGCTGAGTGTTACACGCCTCTTGATTGGTAGCTGAGTGTTACACGCCTCCGATTGGCTGTGTAAGAGTTACACGCCTTCTGACTGGCTAGTTGAGTGTTACACGCCTCCTGATTGGCTGGCTGACTGTTACACGCCCCCTGATTGGCTGTTTGAGTGTTACACACCTCCTGATTGGCTAGCTGAGTGTCAAAGGCTTCCTGATTGGCTACCTGAGTGTTACACGCCTCCTGATTGGTTGGCTGAGTGTTACACGCCTCCTAATTGGCTGCCTGAGTGTTACACGCCTCCTGATTGGCTGGCTGAGTGTAACATGCTTCCTGATTGGCTGTCTGAGTGTTACACGCCTCCTGATTGGATGGCTGAGTGTTACACGCCCCCTGATTGGCTGTTTGAGTGCTACACGCCTCCTGATTGGCTGTCTGAGTGTTACACGCCCCCTGATTGGCTGTCTAAGTGTTACACGCCTCCTCATTTGCTGGCTGAGTGTGACACGCCTCCTTATTGGCTTGCTGAGTGTGACACGCCTCCTGATTGGCTGCCTGAGTGTTACACGCCTTCTTATTTGCTGGCTGAGTGTTACACACCTCCTGATTGGCTAGCTGAGTGTCAAAGGCTTCCTGATTGGCTACCTGAGTGTTACACGCCTCCTGATTGGTTGGCTGAGTGTTACACGCCTCCTAATTGGCTGCCTGAGTGTTACACGCCTCCTGATTGGCTGGCTGAGTGTAACATGCTTCCTGATTGGCTGTCTGAGTGTTACACGCCTCCTGATTGGATGGCTGAGTGTTACACGCCCCCTTATTGGCTGTCTGAGTGTTACACGCCCCCTGATTGGCTGTCTAAGTGTTACACGCCTCCTGATTGGCTGGCTGAATGTGACACGCCTCCTTATTGGCTGGCTGAGTGTTACATGCCTCCTGATTGGCTTCCTGAGTGTAACATGCAACCTGATTGGTTGGCTGAGTGTTACACGCCTCCTAATTGGCTGCCTGAATGTTACACGCCTCCTAATTGGCTGCCTGAGTGTTACACGCCTCCTGATTTGCTGGCTGAGTGTTACACACCTCCTGATTGGCTAGGTGAGTGTTACACGCCTCCTGATTGGCTTCCTGAGTGTTACACGCCTCCCTATTGGCTGGCTGAGTGTTACATGCCTCCTGATTGGCTTCCTGAGTGTTACATGCCTCCTGATTGGTTGGCTGAGTGTTAAACGTCTCCTGATTGGCTGGCTGATTGTCAAAGGCCTCCTGATTGGCTGCCTGAGTGTTACACGCCTCCTGATT